CACAATGTGCCTTAAATACTGTGAAATAAAAATAATATTAAAAAAAAATTGAAACATTTGGAAAGTGTGATCACACCAATCATTCACGAGAATGATCATAGGATCATATATGAAATACATTCAATATTTTGCCATGATTCGAACCACATGAAATGCATTTCACATTTTGTAAATTTCGACACATTTGACATTCACTAAATTGTACTTACACTTTCTCAATTGAGGATCCCTCATGGTATCAATAGCCATCAACGCATTCGCCTTTCTCAATCTCTCAAGTTGAATGGCATCTCGATTCAAAGCACACACCAACGTTGCAATCACCACTGGAATCACAATACTCACAGCTGCCAAAATCACCACCAAACTCACCACGGTCTGAACTTTTAACACAAATGCAATCGAATTTTGTTTGTCACTCACATAAAACGCAACTGGGTCCAACACTTGTTGTAAAAATTGAGCTTGTTTGGTCTGATAGGTCGGATCTGAAAATAGAACTTTGAGGGCTTGCGTTCCGTTGTGTTTGAGTGCAAGATTGACCGCTTGAGCTTCGAACTGAATGGAGGAATCGATCGAATCGAGTCGAGTTAAATTAAGCGCTTGAATTTCGTGATCACTCAAGTCCGAAAGTAATTTCGAAATGGTTTGATTGTAGAGGAGAGTGGTGTTGTAAAAGGTGTAGGCCTCTTGAGAGACGTACAAGTCGTAATTGGCCGCCTGTGTTGTCGAAAGTTGAGAAGTATTCGTGGCTTGGATTCCGAGTTGTTCTGCGGTTGATCTACCCCTACATCTCTTTCGGCAAGGCCCGGTTCCGGTTCCGGTTCCGGATCCCGATGTGGTTCCCGATGTCGGAGGTGTCACGACCGAAACATTCAACGAGGCCAAGCATGCCGAATAGAGAGCAGCTGTTTTCGAACTATAGGACAATCGTTCTCGATACAATCTTGCCATCACAGTATATTCAATGGTGGAAGTATCCAAATCTTGAAATGCAGCGTAACTCCAAATAATAAGTGCCAACAAGATGATAAATGCCACCACATTCACCACGAGAGAGAGTAAGGAAAGAAGGCGCATCCATGACAATTCCACCACACCAAAGCAAGTCCGAATTCGGAGCGGAGAGGAGAAAACGGAGATGTTTTTCGCCGATGGAATGGAATGATCATGTTGTCGAGGAGGAGAAGTGGAAGATGGTTGTTGTTGTGGTTGTGGTGATGATGGTTGTGAGGGTAGTGATTGTTGTGGTGAATGGATGGCAGAGGTGTGATTTGCTTCTTGTAATTCGATGGATGAGGATTGATGAATTTCAGAGGGAGGTGACATGGAATGTTGTGATCGATTGGAAGAAGCAAAATGTTGTTGTTGTTATTTTGATCTTGTGAAAGAGATGTGGAATCTTCTTTTTGTAAGCTTGCTTGTTGACAGCGCAAACACAATCGTGATTAGTGACAGGTCTTGTCAGAGTGTCAAGTGGAAGGATCTTTGAGAATGGCTATTTCACACAGCGCTATTGTTTGAGACCAAAACACGGATAAAAGCAACGAAACGTTTTGCTGATTCTTATCTTGCACCAATCTGATCTGACCTCCAATTCGTGAAATGCTTGTCGGGAGAATGAATTGATCACTCACTCAATGAAAAGTTGGGTTGTAACAACCGTCGTCTAGGGGTCTGGTCGTTGATTTCTTTTTTTGATGTTGGAGAAGGTATGAGATGGTCAAATTCTCACAATGAGATCATGAAGAAGAAGAAGTAAAACACTTTCGCAATTTGTGTATTCGCATTCATAATCGTGAACATTCTACAAGAACTGTCAGATCAATTGAGAGTGAGGACCAGCATTATGGCAATGATTTCCAAGATCAAATTCTCATATCTCTTCTTCTTCTCGTTAGTAAATTTGCATTCTGACAGGTGTCAGTTATATAACGTTCATATGGGAAGAAACTTCTAAAGAGAGACAAGTCCATTCTAAATAAATACGTGAATAATAATAAATCAAAATAAAGAGAGGAAATTTCAATAGAACTGAGGGTCTAATGCCACCGACAAGTCATCGGTTCAATTTGTTCGATGAAAGGCCTTTCATCATCATTAAGAATTTATTCGAAATTGAGGAATTGCTTACAAAAAATGTTGAAACTCGTTTCTTCTTCTTCTTCATTTAGTGGTATCAGCTTTTCGAGAAGAGGAGGAATTCTTTTTCATGGCACAACAACAAGCACCACTAACACTCCATCCATGTTGAAAGTGGTGGTGATGAGAACGATTGCTGATCCACCGATGATGGACCGTCGTCGGTTGTTGGATTTTGGAATTAATCATCAATTTTCATTCTTCTCTCGGATGAATGATCTTTATCATCATGATAGGAAGAAGATGATTTATCAATCAAAATCCAATAGGATGATGAGTTCGTTGAATTTGATGAAGGAGTAAGCCTTGATCAACCTGAGTCAAGCCACCACCATCATCATCATCATCTTTTATTAAATTCTAGTTATGAACATCCTCTCGGAGGAATCATTGGTAGTCTCTATCAAGCCTCTTCAAATGTATTATGGAACATGAAAAACAGTTATTCAAATCTAAATTCTTCAAGAATTCAAGAACGATTCTAATACCACATAAACTTGAGATGAGTTGGGAAGAATTGAAAAGAAAGATTTCAAATGTATTTGGAGGTCATCGATATTCCTATTACGAATACAGTAGCTATGGAAGTGGAGGAGAAGGAAGTGGATTCCGATTTACGAATATTCAAAAAATCATTGCTTTGAATGTGGCTGTGTTTGTCTTGGCTAATTTATTCCTCACACGACAAGACATTCTTGCTAATTTGGGAGTTTCATTGGACAATATCAAACATGGCAAAATTTACACCATGTTCACAAGCATGTTTACACATATTGATTTAATTCATATATTCATGAACATGTATGCATTGAGTCAATTAGGAAAAATGATGCCCATGACTAGAAGATTATTGTGGCCAGCTTATATTTTCTGTGGTCTAGTGGCGTCTTCTGTTTATTTACTTGATAAATGGATTGGAAGTACTGCACTTCATCGACCCCATGAATACTATACCACTGGTATTGGAGCCAGCGGAGCCATATTTGGTTTGTTAGCGTTTGTGACACAAGTACATCCCTTCATTCCAGTAGGCATCTTCTTTTTACCCATCCAATTTAAATTAAGGAATTTCTTTTATGGTGTCATTGCCATTGAGTGCTATCGTTGGTACACGAACAGAGATTCATCCGTGAGTGCGAGTGGCCACTTGGGAGGAGCTTTGGGAGGATACTTGTTCTACCTGATGAATCGTAAGAGACTTCTTTTTAAAAGGGTTAAATGTTTGTAGAATCAATTTATGAATTGGTTATTAATACTGTACACGGTAGATTCTTGTTGTAGTTTTCTTGAGCACTTGGTGAAGCCAATCTCAATTTCAGAATTGAACTGTACATTCTTCAAGTCACCGATTGAAACACGGAATTCCATTCATGCTTTCCTCCTCACTTCTCCATTCACACACATTCTGTGCAATTCTACACAATACATGCTACAACAACAACAACAACTAGTAGTAGTAGTAGTCGTCAAGTAGTCATTCTCAAGAGTCATCGTATTGAATGTCCTCCTCCAGAAAAAACACAGAGTCCTCTGAATGATGTTTTTCTCCATGACACGGAGTTGTTGTGGCAACAGTCCATCCTTTTGAAGCAAAAAAAATGAATTTGTTGTGGCGACTTCAACTTATTGCCTCTCTGTGCGATCATGATGAAAGTGTTTGGTCGGTTTCTTTTCATCCACAATATAAACATGTGTTGGCCACGTGTTCATCGGATAAGACGGTGAGGATTTATTATGTACGGAGTGAGGCAGAAACAGGAACAATAACAACGAATGTATTGTCTTCGTCGTCGTCATACCCGGGTATGAATCACCAAAGCCTTTTAAATACATCATCAAACTCGGGAGGAAATTACAAGACCATGATCAAATGTTTGGATGTTTTGGAAAATCAACATAATCGAACCATCCGTCGGGTGGATTGGTCTCATCCCAATGGAAATGCTTTGGCTTGTGCAAGTTTTGATGGAACGAGTTCTATTTGGATTTTGTTGAAAAACAAAATCGTATCACATTTGAATGCACTCGATGAGGAATTTGTCAAACAATCTCCTCACAATGATGATAAGAAGAATGGTTCATTCAGTCCTTTAAAACTATTAAAATGTGTCTCAACTTTGGAAGGACATGAAAATGAAGTGAAATCGGTGGCATGGAATTTCAAAGACGTTTCTTCCTCTAATTGGAGTGCTGAAATGAATGACGATGATGAAGAGAGTGAATTTGGAGCTGACTGTGGACTGTTGGCAACCTGTGGTCGTGATAAAACTGTTTGGGTTTGGGAAGCAATTGATAAGATTGGATTTTCAGATTTTGACTGCAATTCCGTGTGTAGTGGACATACACAGGATGTAAAATTTGTAGCTTGGCATCCATTAACTCGAGAAAACATGCCATCTCTATTGTTTAGCGCATCCTACGATAATACAATTCGTGTTTGGAAAGAAGGAGGATTTAATGATGACCATTCAAGTCACCATGATTTTTCACACTCTGGTGGAGCTGGAGGAGATGAATGGAAATGTGTTGGAATTTTGAGAGGTCACACCAGTACAGTTTGGGCTCTTGCTTTTGAACCACCATTTGTACCCAGTTCTACAATGAACAATCAAACGACTGTTCGATATTCTACTGCCAGTAGTAGTAGTGGTACTACAAATACTATGACCTCAACTACTCCTCTGGATTACCCACAATTTATGGTCAGTGTAGGTGATGATAAATCAATCATTGTGTGGAGAGAGGATGTGGTCGGAAATTATCTTGACATGAATATGACAGCCATTCAGACCATTTCTGATGTTCACACTCGAACGATATATCATGTCGATTGGTGCGTGTATGAGAATCCATACAGGCCTGGAGAAGCCATTTCATTGGTGGCCACTTCTGGTGGAGACAATACCATTGCCATCTTTGAGTGGAATAGAACTGAGCAAAAATTGAATTTATTGACCAAGATTGTGAATGCTCATGATGCAGATATTAATTGTAGCATGTGGAATAGGAATGTTTTTGGAGAGTTGGCCTCCTGTTCGGATGATGGAGTTGTGAAAATATGGAAATTAGATTTGTGATTGAATCATTGAATGTCACCAGCAGTTTTGTTGTTCTCTTTTTATTTATTGGAACCTTCAAGTTAAAATTGTCATTGCATCCGCACAATGATTTTTATGAACATTATTTACATTTCGAAGAGAGATCATCTTTGGACATTTTCATCTTCTTCTGGTAACCAACACTCGCAAATTCGATGAAGGTCTTGCAGTAACGCCAGGAACATCTACAATCTTATCTTCCTTCTTGCTTTCGTCATTCAACAATGTAAATTCATAAAATTGTAAAAGTCGACACAAGATCATGCACGTCTCAATTTGACTGAATGAATAGCCAATGCACTTTCTGTTTCCTCCAGAGAATGGGAACCAACTGACACTAGAAATAACCTTTTGTTTAAAGTCCTTATCGAGGAATCGTTCTGGTGCAAAGTCTGTACCCTTGTAGGTGTCATTATTAAAATCGGCAGATAAGGTTTGACAAGCTTTGGCATCAAGGTAAATGGTAGAACCTTTTGGAATTTTGTACTTGCCAATGGTGGTGGTCTTACAACATTCCTTAACAATGGAAACCACAGGAGGATGCTGCAAGACAAGGTTTTGCATGAATAATCATGTTAACAGTGTGTAAGTGACGAATGGCATTGCGGTCAAAACAAAGTGCAAAATTCACATCATGTACACTCGTCGAACCAAACTTGGAGAACTTACCAATCGAAGAGATTCCATCATGGTTGCATGAATATAATCCATGCTGGCATAGTCATCGAAATTAGGCGCCCTCAATTCAGGTCCACCAATTCTTAAAGCTTCTTCTCTTGCTTTTTGTTGAGTTTTTTGATTCTTTGATAATTCATACATGAGCCATTGTAGTGTTGTACTAAATTTTTCAATCATAATTTAAATATAAAATTAATGTTAAATATCATGCAAATGAATTATTATTTTGGTCCACAACGTGGTGTTTTCCACGTGATCACTTACCTCGTTGTTTCATGTCCAGCAATGACGAAAATATATGCATTACTCTTCAACTCATCCAATGTCAATTTGTGATTTGATTCTTCTTCCATGTTTGCTTTCACTAATTGTGACAAGAGATCATTCAATGGTTTTTCTGGATCTTTCTTGAATTCTTCTTGTCTCTGAGAAATGTATCGATTCAAGTGCTCACTCATCAGTTCAAGCGCTTGATCCGTTTTAGTGTAACGAGCTAACATCTTTCGAACAAGTCCTTCTCCAAAGAAAAATCGTTGATAATAATCATGTTTGATCACATTCGTCAATGCCTCTCTGAATTTCTTTCCATCATTGGATGTTTCCGAGAAAATTCCAAAATCAATTCCAAAACCAGCTTCACCAATCACTGCCAAAGTCACATCGGAATAATCCTCCAAATCCAACACAAAACCATCTTTCTTAATTTCTCCCAAACTCGTTTGATGATGAATCATGCTCTCTTGCGAAGACTTTAATAACTTTTCCCATTTGGTGTGAAACAATGCATCTGTGGCTCGAATTGCCGCTTGACACATCAATCTCAAATTATTTGTCGTAAAGGAAGGAGAGACTACCACATGATGATTCTTCCAAACAGGTCCATCCGGAGCTGTCAAAATAGACGTTGCCTTCTTTGAAAAGATGTTAAAAGGTTCATAAAATGTTTCCACTGGTTTCACAAAGGAAGAAGATTTGGTGAGAAGAACTTCTTTGCAAGAATCTTTATCGGCAAAGAGAATATTGTTACGATGAGTGGAAACTCGAATACATAATTGATTCGAATGATGATGATTGGAAGAATTGGATGAATTGGAATCCTTGTTGTGTTGTTGTTGTTTCAGTTGTTCTTGTTTCAAGAGTTGAATGATCACATCCGAGTTGCCATGTGCAATGTAAGGAGAAAGGATAGGAATTCGAATGAAACCCTCACTGAGGAGTTGCCAATAGCCAGGAATGTCTTGAACTTTGGCAATATTTCTTCTCAGATTGACAAGTGTTTTCAGAACGTAAAACAAGAGAAGAGAAAGGCAGCACGTCGTGAGGAGAGTCAACCAAAGATCGGACGATTGGAGGAGGATCATCATGTCAAAGGTCGATATACACTCTTGTTGTT